ACTCTCATGCCTGGGGCCTCTGGAGATCAGAAGACAATACCGGGTCCACCGAGAACTGGAGTTATGGATGGTTGTGAGCCATCTTGTGGGTGCTGGGAATTGAATCTGGGTCCTCTGGAAGAGCAGTGCTCTTAACAGCTGAGCCATCTCCCCTCTCAACTTGCTCTTTCATCCACCCTTGACGCCTATGGAACTCTTGCTCTCTCCGTTGAACAGCCCGAGATACAGAAAATGAGGCCGGTTGCTAGGAATCACACAGCAAGTTAGAGACAGGTTCAGGCCTAGAAAATGGGCTGGCAGAATGGCTGGAAGATTTGTGAGGAGGGAGGGATTTGGAGTGAGTCTTCTTCGTCCTGTGTCCCAGGAAGGACGTTGGAACGACAGTCCCTGTAACCAGTCCCTGCCATCCATCTGCAAGAAGGCCGGCCGGCTCAGCCAGGGTGCCGCTGAGGAGGACCATGGCTGCCGGAAGGTGAGGGTGTTTTTGGAACTGCCCAAGGTGGAGTCAGCCCCCAGGGGTTCCCAGGGTGGGTGGGGAGAGATGGAGAGACCCCTGCAGTCTTGCCCGACCCCCTCCTATTCTCTGGTTTCCACACACCCTTTGTGGCCTTCGGAGCTCCTCTCCACAAGCCTCGCTCCTTGGTGTTTTCCTTTGGATTAAACACCTTCGAAAGCCCGGCCCCAGCTGAGCCCTCCTCTCCCAGAGGCGTGATCACCCTTCCTGCAGGAGCTGGTGGCAGGGCTGTCTCAGTAAGAAGGCTGGCAGGACCCAGCTGGGGAGTCTGGGATCCGTGAGCTCCTCCCTGAGCTCTGTCCTGGTGTGAGTACAGTGGAGTACATCGGAGGCCAGCCTGCACTCTACACGCGTGGCTGCTGTGTCCAGAGGGAGCCCTGGGCTAGCCAGGCACATCCTCCCAGACTCCACCCTGCGGAGTCCTCAGGACCACCCAGCCACCTCTGCAGGCCCGCCATCTCTCCGTAGCTCTTCAGCTCTGGTGTCCGAGCCAGCTGCTAGTTTTCACTAATACTGATTACTTATTTTACTGTTCTTATTTATCATGATTACGTTTGTGTCTATCGTATGAGCGTGTGGCACACACATGTCATAGTATGCTTGTAGAGGCCAGAGGCCAGCCTTTGGGGTCAGTCCTCTCTTTCCACCGTGGGAATCCATGGATTGAACCCAAATCACTGTGGAAAAGGCCTTCACCCTTTGAGCCATCTTGCCAGCACCTGGTTATTTTTATGTTTTGTTTTGTTTTGTTTTCTCAGAGTGTAAATGCTCATGTGTGTGCGCACACATGCGGCTATGTGTTGACGTTGGGGCCAGAGGCTGGCCTCCTTATTTTGAGATAGGGGCTCTCACTGGACTGGGTCTCCCCAGTAGATTAGGTTGCCCAACCAGCAGCTCCCTGGGGACCCGTGTGCCTCTCCCCCTCAGTGCTGAGATGAAAAAGCATATGCCACCACACCAACTTTTTCCCCCCATGAGTTCTGGGGATCTGAACCCAGGTCCGCATGCTTGCATACGAAGCGCTTTGCCAACTGAGCCATCCTCCCAACCTGATTGTTTTGTTTTGTTTTGTTTTTCTAGTACTGAGGACTGAACCCAAGGCCCCACACCTGCTAGAAATGTGTTATCACCACTGAGCTATAAGCCAGGCTCCTGTATTTCTTGATGTAAATGCTACTTGTTTCTCAGAGCCAGGCCTTAGGCAGGTCCATCAGCTCCCCATAGCAGCACTTCACCCCGGTCCAACAGTTGTCGGCAGCGGCAGGGAGAGCTGGGGCTAGCCGGATGCGGAATTTAGCACAGGTGTTACTCTCTGGAGCCTCATTAGTACCTTCTGCCCTGCACACACCCAGCGATGCCCTGATGTCGGGCCTGCTCAGGCACGGGCAGGTGTGGGGTCCGCCCACAGACACCCCTCTCCCGCCCTCTCTCTTGAGTCAGGGTTGGACGTGGCACAGCCCATCCTGCTACTGGCTGGGAGAGGACCAGGTGACCTACAGTGACGCCCGGCGCCTGTGTGCTGACCATGGCTCTCAGCTGGTCACTGTCACCAACAGGTATAGAAGGTGGACAGAAGTCCTGGCCGGTCCTCTTTTCAAGACAGGGTTTCTCTGTGTAGCCTTGGCTGTCCTAGAGCTCCCTTTGCAGACCAGGCTGGCCTCGAGCTCACAGAGATCCGCTGCCTTTGCCTCCCTGAGTGCTGGTATCACAGGCGTGTGCCATTACACCCTGTTCTTGCCAGCTCTCTTCCATGACCTGGTCCATGACCAGGATCATATCCTGGCATCCTTCCCAGTGGGACCCAGAATCCTTTGAGCCTCAGTATGTTCCCTGGTCCCCCCTTCCCAAGGCACGTGACTGGCTGTGTATAGTACCTGAGCTTCTGGGATGGGGTGTCTAGCCTGTGGTCCAGAGCTTTTGGAAGGCTGCTGGGAAGCGTCACGCCTTGACTGGCTTGTTTCTGAAGGTTTGAGCAGGCCTTCGTCAGCAGCCTCATCTATAACTGGGAGGGTGAGTACTTCTGGACCGCCCTGCAAGACCTCAACAGCACCGGCTCCTTCCGTTGGCTCAGTGGGGACGAAGTCATGTACACACATTGGAACCGGGACCAGCCTGGTGAGCCTCTAACCCTCGGGTTTGACTGGCCTTGAAGCAGGGGTCTGGGGTGGACCCAGGGCTGTGTCAGGGCTTGGGGCTTCCCAGAAAGCTGTTCCTTTGTGCAGTGTGACCTGTTAGCTCGGGAGCCCACAGCCCCGCTCAGACCCTTGGCACTGCTGTTTGCCAGCTGGGCCTCCACTGAGCCTCAGTTTCTTCACGTTGAAATGGGGATGATGGTACATTTCTGACAGAGTTGACGTGAGGCTTAGATGTGTGTTTAGCTTGGGAAAAGGGGTCACGTGTAATGTGTCGACATTGTACACACTACAGATACTTGCTATTAGTAGCTGTACAAATGTCACCTCCACGTGTGCCCCACTGTACGAAGCTTCAGTATCGTTCTTAACCTTCCTGTGGCCTCAGTTAGTTGTGGCTCTGCTGGGGTTAGAGCCTAACTCCTGGTCTGACGATGAGGTACAGAGGTTACTGGAATATGAGACAGATTTAGCCATGGAACTAGGACTCTGCCTCGTGCCTCCCCCCCCCCCCCCCTGGGACGGGGCCCCCCCCCCCCCCCCCCCCCCCCCCCCCGATTTGATGCTGACCCCCCAGACCTCATCCCTGTAGAGTCAAGCTCATTCTCCTCCTCAGGGTACAGACGTGGGGGCTGCGTGGCTCTGGCCACGGGCAGTGCCATGGGACTGTGGGAGGTGAAGAACTGCACATCGTTCCGGGCTCGCTACATCTGCCGACAGAGCCTGGGCACGCCGGTGACGCCAGAGTTGCCTGGGCCAGACCCCACCCCCAGCCTCACCGGCTCCTGCCCCCAGGGCTGGGTCTCAGACCCCAAACTCCGACATTGCTATAAGGTGGGACATTGCTATAAGGTGGCATGGTGGGGGGTGGGGACAGAGGGAGAACAAGAACACTGAGGCAGTTTACCTGGGGGAACCTGGGAGCCATCATGACCCTGAGGTACCAGCCTAGACTTCAGACTACAGTAATTGCTGATGAAGGCTGCGTTCTGAGGCCTGATGGGTAGTAGGTGCTTGGTGAAGCAGCCAGACCCCAGCGTGTTCTACATAATCCCCTGGGAAGCCCGATGAAAGGAGAATCTTCCAGTCCAGCAAGGGCCTGGTTTCTATCTGTGGTCCCTGTGCTGGTGGCCATATGGAGGTTTGGATTTGAAAGGTCTCAAGTAGGGCCTGGTGGTTTGCCAAGCTTGGGGACCACCAATTTGGTTTTGTTGTTTGAGATTTTTGTGTTTCCTCTTGAGACAGGGTCCTCAGGTCTGTAGCCTAGGCTACCCTCTAGCTCTTGGCAATCCTGCTTTAGCCTCCTGAGTGCTGATACAGCCGTAAGACACTATGGCCGGCTTCTCCTGTGTAGCCCAGGCTGGCCTCAAACTCACTATGTAGTCGAGGATAACCTTTGGTCTCTACTTCTTGGGTACTAGGTTTGCACACATGCGCCACAAGGCCTGGCTTTTGAGGCCTTTTATTACATACAGGAACTAAAGTGTGTATGTGTGTGTGTGTGTGTGTGTATGGGGGGGGGGACCTGTCCTCAGTCTAATCCCTCTGCTGGGATTAGAGCCTTCCTCCTGATCTGAGGACCAGGTACAGGGGCTCTTGCCAGGAGCTGACAGCATCGCCTGCCTTCCTGAGACAGACGGAATTGTCTTGAGCTATTGCTCCCTGCTGAGGCCATAGCACCTAACTGGACCGCTGTCGTGAGGAAGTGGCAGGTGGGCTTTGGCCACAGCTTAGATAGCTGTCTCTGCTCCGGCAGGTGTTCAGCTCCGAACGGCTGCAGGAAAAGAAGAGTTGGATCCAGGCCCTGGGGGTCTGCCGGGAGTTGGGGGCCCAGCTGCTAAGTCTGGCCAGCTATGAGGAGGAACATTTTGTGGCCAACATGCTCAACAAGATCTTTGGGTACTGGATGGGTGGGTGAGCGGCCCGCACCTGGGTGGGGATGGGCGTGGCTGCCGAATTCTTGGTTGTGGCACGCTTGGGGTGAGAAGGTGGGTATTGGACGGTGCCTTCAGAGGGCCCAGCTGAGGCCTGGGATGACCTGTATCTGTCAATACTGCCAGAGCCATCCTGTTTCCTTCAAGTGCCCACAGTCCCCTGGGATCTCGGTGACCCCCTTATAGGGGACCCTGTTGCTAACCAGTGTCCTATAGCCAGCAACATCCTTTCAGACACAGCTGCCATCTCAGCCCCCCCCCCCCCCTTTCAAAAAAAATCCCCCCCCCCCCCCCACTAGATCGCTGACTTGCCCAGAATCCATCTTTGCCACGTAGGCTCTGAGGACTATAGTCTCTGGCACATGGCATCGTAATCAACTTATCATTGGTGGGAAAAAAAAAAATCCGAGTGGACCCAGGCGCCCTGAGATTTAATTTCAGAGCTACTTCCTCCCAGCAGTCGGGCTTTTATCACTTGACTAGTAATTACAGCAGCCCGTGCTGCTCACCGCTTTTTTCTCGGCTCATCACGTGGGTGCGGCTTGCAGCCCACCCCCTTCCCCGCACCCTGTGCCCGTACTCGCTCAGTGACCTCATGTTCAGGTCGTACTCAGGAGTTAGACTGTTGGTCCGGTGTGGCAGTGGGTCCGTGACAAAGCACGATTTGAACCCCGGTGTTTTTGAGAGCCCCAGTGTCTCTAATTTCTCCCGCCCCCATAGGAGGGAAAAATAGGCAGCCGCCTTGCTGGGCCCTGTATCCCGGAAGGTAGTCCAGGGCCACCTGCTCTGGCTCACCTTGTCTCTAGGGAGGGAACTTTCAAAAACCAAACAAGCAAACACCAAGCCCCCCGCAGTGCTTTGGCACAGCGGTTTGCAGCGTGGACGGAGAGGCTGCAGGCTGCTTAGCGACAGCCAGCGGCTGTGTGCTGGACTCCGGCCACTCTCACCTCCTCTCTCTTCTGTCCCCACCCAAGTGAATCCGAGCCGGAGAGCCACGAGCAGCACTGGTTTTGGATTGGCCTGAACCGCCGGGACCCGAGAGAGGGTCAGAGCTGGCGCTGGAGCGATGGTCTAGGGGTGAGGAGCCGTGGAGGAGGCAGGACGGGGAGGTGGGTAGGGCTTGGTCCTGGGTGGGCACCCGCTGGGGCGTGGCAGGGCCTGGCGTGGGCAGGGATTTCTGGCCAGTAGGTTAAGAGTAATCAGGTGATGGAGAAGGATGTTCACCCGGCCTGGCAGTCCTCAGTTCAGGCCCGGCTTCTTGGTTGCCTGTTGGAGGTCCCTCTTTCTGTCTTTATCTCGCTTTCCAGTTTTCCTACCACAATTTTGACCGGAGCCGGCATGACGACGATGACGTCCGAGGCTGTGCGGTGCTGGACCTGGCCTCCCTGCAGTGGGTGGCTGTGGAGTGCCAGACGCAGCTGGACTGGATCTGCAAGATCCCTAGAGGTTGGATGGATGTGGGAGTAAGTGGGCTGGGGCGGGCCAGGCTTTGGACGCGGGCTTCGAAGCGAGGAATCGGGGGATCCAGCCACCCTCCGCCTTGACATCGTCGCCCCTGTTGTTCTGTAGGTGTGGATGTGCAGGAGCCAGATGCTGGTCCCCAAGGTGAGGCCCCTAGGCTCCCTGATCCCTGCCTCGGCCCAGAGCGAGGCTGAGCAGGTCAAAGGCTCCACCCCAAAGGGGGACTAAGTTAGTTAGCCCTGGACACCCTTGCTCTGCTTTCTGTGGTGTGGAAGGAGGGTCAACCAGAGGGCCTGTCCGGGGTTTACCTTGTTGCATGCTCTGGCGCTGACCAAGCCCGGAGCTTTCAAGGGCCTGTCTAGTGGCCTGGCACCTGCTCCCACAGGCCGGCCGGAGTGGCTCCGCTTCCAGGAGGCAGAGTACAAGTTCTTTGAGCACCATTCCTCGTGGACGCAGGCCCAGCGCATCTGCACGTGGTTCCAGGCAGAGCTGGCCTCCATCCACAGCCAGGCAGAGCTGGACTTCCTGGGGCAGAACCTGCAGAAGGTGGGCGTGAGAGGCAGCAGGTGGTTCCCGGCTGGGAAGGGGCAGAGGCTGCGGGCGGGGAAGCCACTAACCCTCCCCTGCCTGCCTCCTTCACCAGTTCTCCTCAGGCCCCGGGCAGCACTGGTGGATCGGCCTGCACACCTCGGAGAATGATGGCCGCTTCAGGTGGGAGAGCTAGTGGGCGGCAGGTGTGAGAGGGGCACGGGTGTGAGTGGCCAGCTGTGTCACCAAGCTAGAGGTGTCAGGGCTGAGCAAACACAGGCAGATAGACCTGCACTTGAATTCGACTCTGCTCCTCACAGGCTGCATGGCCTTGGACAAGTAAGGGGCGTGTCTCTGGCCTCTGTTTTCTTACCTGAAGGTGGCAGTAATGAGACCTGCGTAGCTGGCCTAGCATTCTTCAGATCCTGGGGTTGATTCCTGGACTACAAAACAAATACTTCAAAACATCCAAAAGTTATATATATATATAATTTAGGGACTTATTTATTTTGAGACACGGTCTCACTATATAGCCATGGTTACCTAGGTAGAAGAGGCTGGCCTTGTACTCACAGAGATCCTTTTGCCTTTGCTTCCCAATGGCTAGGACTAAAGGTATGTGCCATACATTATTCCTTTAATACTACGGTATTCCTTTAATTAATTTAAAAATATTTATTTATTTATTTAATGTATATGAGTGCTCTAGCTGCATGTATACCTGCATGCCAGAAGAGGGCATCAGATCCCACCATAGATGGTTGTGAGCTACCATGTGGTTGCTAGGAATTGAACTCAGGACCTCTGGAAGAGCAGAGAGTGCTCTTAACTGCTGAGCCATCTCTCTAGTGCCTCCTTTATTTATAATTTATGCACATGTGTGTGCTAGGACCTACTGAGTCCAAAAGGGGACACCAGATCCCCTGACGTGGTGTTGTAGGTGGTTGTGAGCCACGTGTGTGTGTGTGTGTGTGTGTGTGTGTGTGTGTGTGTGTGTGTGTGCTGGGAACTGTACTATTGTCCTCTGGAAGAGCAGCACACACTCTTAAACAGCTGAGCCATCTCTCCAGCCCCTCAAAGATGATACTCTTTAAGGCTAGTTTCTAACTGGGTGTCCAATTTTAACTTAAGAAATGGCAAAAGCCATGACCTGCTTGAGAACAACGTAGGTACCTGTTTGCCAAGCGTCAAAATGCTAGGCTGTCGCATCTGCTGTCATCCACCTGGTTGTCGCTTCCTGCTCTGGAGACGCTGGGGGCATGTGGTGTGACAGGTCACTAACCATTCTCAAAGTCAGATCCACTGAAAGAGAACAATCATGTCCTGAAGATACGAGGCCTAGCAAAAAGCCACTGCGTGTCACAGCATGGTGCTTGACAAATAACTTCAGGCCCTTACTATGGTGCCCAGCGTGCACCGGGTGCTACGTACTGGTGGCACTCTCCTGTTAGATCCGGGGTCACATGTCAAAGACTGGCCAACCCGTGAACAGGGGACTCTAGTCAGCGCCTGCATTACAGGAATTAGGGCCTTTGAGGCAGGAATCGGTGGAAATCTGGGCACTTCTTTGCTATAGGGTTTTCAGGCCCCTGAGAGAGGCGAGTGCATGCTGGGCAGGGCTCCACAGGAGGCTGCAGACCCGGGGTCTCCGTCTGCACTGGGCTGTGAGCTCCTTCAGGCCTGTTCGTGCCCCTGTCCTGTGGCCTCCGGTGCTGCGCACGGAGGAGGCTGAGCCTGTGTTCTGTGACTCTGTAGGTGGTCCGACGGTTCTGTCATCAACTTCATCTCCTGGGCCCCCGGAAAACCTCGGCCCATTGGCAAGGACAAGAAGTGTGTGTACATGACAGCCAGCCAAGGTGAGGATGAGGAGGACCAGAGAGGGCGTTGTTGGCATGGTCTAAGGTTAGGGGTATCTAGGTGGGTGGGGGCGGGGCAGATCGGAGAAGAGCTATATCCGAGGAGGGTGGGTGCATCTGTGGCTGCAAGGACACAGAGGGCTGGAGTTAACCCCGTGTCCCCAGGGCATAGGACCAGGAGCGCTGCCTGCCCCGCCCTGCCCTATGGTAACAGTTCTCCTCCCCCCTTCACAGAGGACTGGGGGGACCAGAGATGCCATACAGCCTTGCCCTACATCTGTAAGCGCAGCAATAGCTCTGGGGAGACTCAGCCCCGAGACTTGCCACCTTCAGCCCTAGGAGGCTGCCCCCCTGGCTGGAACCAGTTCCTCAACAAGGTAGGAAGTCAGGAGGGACACCGAGAGAGCCAAGGGCGAGGTTGGGGAGACGGGACGGCTGAGACTCAGGAGCCTTAGCTGTCTGGCCACAACAAAGCCATGGCCTCTTATCATGGTTGGGGACATGTGGAAATCCACGGGGACACCCACCAACCTCCCTGTGCCAACGAGAGCGAGGCTCCTTGAAAGCGGCTCAGTGTACAGAACACGTGAGCGAGGTCACCTGAATACTTCCGAGTTTTCTAGATCACTAGTTGTCAAACGTCTTGATAGCGAACTCTTATTAATAAAACAAAATATCGAGCATTTGTACCCAATCTGTATGTGTGTATACGTTATTTGTGTATACATGCAAGAGGTTGCAAAAAAATTAATAGCTGCTTCTGTCCTAACGAGACTATGATCAAATGGAGCCAGGTGTGCGCCAGAACATAGCTGAAAGCAGATAAGGACTAAAAATACTATCTTTAAAATTCCTTATCGATGGAATAAAAGTATGCTTGGGCCCCACAACTGGTCAGTTGTAATAACACTTACACAATTTTGCAATATGAGAATCCGTTTTTTTCTTTCATTTAAATTTATTTTTTCACTGGTACGTAAAAACATAAACGTGATGGGTATTCAGTGGGTGCCATGTAACACTCGGGTACACCCAGGCGCTGTATGATGCTCGAATTAGAGGAGATTAGCATCTGCCTCCTTGAAGGCATACGCTTGCTTTAAGGGGAAGCCGCCCCGCAGCCCTTCCTCCTGGCTGTTCGAAATACTCAATGCGTTCTCTCCTGCAGTGGCCTCACCACAGGTCCCTATGCTATCAGCTGACATCACTGTCACCTCACTGCGTGCCCACTTTCTGCACAACAGTACCAAACCAATTTGATCTTACACAGCTGTCCCTGAGTGCTCCGTAGCCAGCCTCTCCCCCTCCCGCCTTTCTTCCCACTGTCCCCAGTAGCTGTCATCCTATTCTCAACTCTATTTATTTATTTATTTATTTATTTATTTATTTATTTATTTATTTTTCTTTTTGGTTTTTCGAGACAGGGTTTCTGATACTCCTGGCTGTCCTGGAACTCATTCTATAGACCAAGCAGACCTCAAACTCAGAGGTTTACCTTCCTCTGCCTCCCAACCACTAGGAGGAAGGGCATGTGCCAACACCACCTGGATATTCTCAGTGTTTATGAGAGTAACTGTGCCCGCTTCCTTTGAGACAGGGCCGAACGTAACCTAGATCAGCCTTGAACTCACCACATAGAGGGTGACTGAACCTTTGAAGGCCCAAATGCTGGGATTACAGGTTTATGCAGTGCTGGGAATAGAACCTAGAGTCTTGTGCCTGCCAGGCCAATGCTTTACCAACTGAGCTATCTGTCCAGCCCGAGAGTAACTTAGGTTTTGCATATCTCTGTGTGGTTGGCACATGTGTGCACGGGCCAGAGCTTGATCTTAGGTGTTTTCTTACTGGTCCTGTACCTTACATACAGAGGCAGGGGCTCTCACTTAAGCCAAAACTTGTTGATTTGGCTAGTGTAGCTAACCAGCTCGACGAGACATCACCTGTCTCTACCAGGTGCTGGGATTACAAGTGGGCCACCACATTTACAGCGTTTACTCGGGTGCTGGGGACCCAAAATCTGGTCCTTACGCTTACCCAGGAAAAGCACCTCATCCATATCCAATATGCTGTGCTTGTCTTTCTGCACTCATTTTAAAAATTTATTTTCCTTCCTTTTTACTCTATGTATTTTTTGCCCGTGTGTGTGTGTGTGTGTGTGTGTGTGTGTGTGTGTGTGTACCAAATGTGTGCAATGCCCATGGAGGCCAGAAGAGGGCGCGAGGTCCCCTAGATCTGCAGTTTCAGACAATTGTTGAGCTGCCATGTGGATATTGGGATTCAGATCTGGAAGAGCAGCGATGCTCTTAACTGCTGAGCCATCCCTGCCACCCTTGTTTTTTTGTTTTTTCCTTTTCTTAGCAACATTTAGAAAATTGTCTTTCCTAGTGTTTTGAAGTTGGGCGTGATGGTATACACTTGTAACTCAGAGAGTGGTGGGAGACTAGGCCAGCCAGGGCGAATCTTCTCAAAAATCCAAACAACACCAAAAATTCAGAAAACAAAAAGTAAGGAGTTAGGGATTTGACTTATTGGTAGAGTGCCTGCCTAGCCTGTGTGGAGGGCCTAACTTACACACATACACACACACACACACACACACACACACAGACACACACACACACCCGAAGAACAAAACAAAAATAGTGTTGGGAGACAGCTCATTTGATAGTGTTGTCTGTACAAGTATGATGACCTGAGTATGATCCTCAGGACTCACAATACCAAGATGAACAGCACCTGAGGAACATCAACCCTTTGACCCACACACGTGCGCGCGCACACACACATGCACTCACACCCTAACGTGTTCACATTGCACAACCAACCTGGTTACAGTGGTGCATACTTGCAACCCCAATACTAGGGAGGCCGAGGCAAGAAGATCATGAGTTCCGGGCCAGCCTGGGCTACATAGCAAGACCCTGTCCCAAACAAACAATAATAGCACCTTTCCCCACCCCCGAATCTGTGCCAGGATGGGAGGGCGGGGCTTTGCCCAGGGAGATCCACACGTCCTATGTCCGGTAGGGCTTGGTCTGAAAGTCCCTGGACATCAGCGGCTGAGGGGGTACCCAGAGGGCTTCTGGGATTGTGGACTGTGGTGTGTGTGTGTAGAGCTGGGTATCAATCACATCCCCTGCCCCACAGTGTTTCCGAATCCAGGGCCAGGATCCCCAGGAGAGGGTGAAATGGTCAGAGGCCCAGTTCTCCTGCGAGCAGCAAGAAGCCCAGCTGGCCACCATTGCAAACCCCTTAGAGCAAGGTAGGTTCAGCTCAGGTGGACGCGCTGGCGCCCCCCAGTCCAGTCTCCCCACAACTGGCTTAGAGCAGAGCAAACGGGGGGCCACCCCGTCACTCTTGCCTTTCTTCTGGGGGACTGTAGCCTTCATCACGGCCAGCCTCCCCAACGTGACCTTTGACCTGTGGATTGGCCTGCATGCCTCTCAGAGGGACTTCCAGTGGATTGAGCAGGAACCTCTGCTGTATGCCAACTGGGCGCCAGGAGAGCCCTCCGGTCCCAGCCCCGCACCCAGTGGCACCAAGCCGGTGAGGACACCGTTCATTGTGCTCTCCCCTGTCCCTGCTGCCCTCTCCCCCGCCGACCCAGCTGACCTTTCAGGGGGCAGTGGTAAACAAAGGAGGCGGCCCCTGGGGTTCCCCTAAGTAGCCTCTTCCCCCCAGACCAGCTGTGCGGTGCTGCTGCACAGCCCCTCGGCCCACCTCACTGGCCGCTGGGATGACCGGAGCTGCACGGAGGAGACCCACGGCTTCATCTGCCAGAAGGGCACAGGTACGAGCCACTGCAGTGCAGACGCTCGGCACTGCCTAGCTGCTCTGGGCCGGGCCAGAAGGAACCAAACAGCGTTCCTCTCCCCTGGAGTCCCAGAGTTCTCCCCCAGAGCCATGTGCCTGCTTGGGGAGCAGGTGGTCTCAGGAGGAAGGTCTGTGGGTAGCCAGATACTGCGATTGCGTGGCGTGCTGGCAAACCACAGAACCCCTGAGGCTCAACCTCAAGGCATGGTCCCTGGTTTCCTGTGTTCCAGGTACCTCAGACAGGAGTAAGTCAAGACCCTAGCGCTTCTCTGTGTGTCAGCAAGGGAAGCGCATTGATTAGAGCAGACAGTGCAGCCATGCCCAGTGGAGACCTGCCCTTGGCCTCATGTCTGGCTTTTCCCGGCCTAGCCTCGTACCTGGGAATGGGGTAAGGGCGCAGAGCACGGCCTGAGAGTCCTGCCCCCCTTTCCCTGCAGACCCCTCGCTGAGCCCATCCCCGGCAGCTACGCCTCCTGCCCCCGGCGCTGAACTCTCCTACCTCAACGGCACCTTCCGGCTGCTGCAGAAGCCCCTGCGCTGGAAGGATGCCCTCCTGCTGTGCGAGAGCCGAAATGCCAGCCTGGCACACGTCCTTGACCCCTACACCCAGGCCTTCCTCACGCAGGCTGCACGAGGCCTGCGGGCACCACTGTGGATCGGGCTGGCCAGTGAGGAGGTGGGCTCCTAGGTCAAGATTTTGCCGCTCCTCCCCCCCCCCCGCCCCACCCTACCTTCTGCCTCGTCCAGTCACCCGTGGCCTCCTCATACCCAGGGCTCACGGAGGTATTCCTGGCTCTCGGAGGAGCCTCTGAATTACGTGAGCTGGCAGGACGGGGAGCCTCAGCAGTCGGGAGGCTGCGCCTACCTGGATGTGGACGGAAGCTGGCGCACCGCCAGCTGTGACACCAAGCTGCAGGGGGCGGTGTGTGGGGTGAGCGGGGGTGAGTACCACCCGACGGGGGCCCGAGGCTTGGGCGTGTGCGGGCGGGCCTGGGAGGGTGCTTGGGCGGCATCCTCAATCCTGCACTCCGACAGGGCCCCCTCCTCCCCGAAAGATAAGCTACCGCGGCAGCTGCCCTCGGGGACTGGCGGACTCGTCGTGGATTCCCTTCCGGGAGCACTGCTACTCCTTCCACATGGAGCTGCTGCTGGGCCACAAGGAGGCGCTGCAGCGCTGCCGGAGAGGTGCGAGAGGGCAGGCCCGCCCAGCATCCAGACTCTGAGGCCCTGAGGAGGAGCTTCGCCTCTGCCTGCAGGCCCTCCCCTCCTCACCTTTCAGTACTCAGACCACACTGTGACCTGTGCAGAACAGCCAACGGCACGCACATGCCCGAGAAACACTCCGTGTTGCGCGCTGCTGCCAGGGAAGAGGGCCGGGACTGCCAGGGATGGTTATGGGGCGGGGGCGGAGCTCTGGCACCACGAGTGCTCGTTCCTCCTGACGAGGGTTTTTCCTTTGTGTCCAGCGGGTGGGACGGTTCTGTCCATTCTTGATGAGATGGAGAATGTGTTTGTCTGGGAGCACCTGCAGACCGCTGACACCCAGAGTCGAGGTGCCTGGTTGGGCATGAACTTTAACCCCAAAGGTGGGTGTCCTGTGTAGGGTAAGGGCTCAGGCTGCAGGAGAGATGCCTGCCACGCACGATTTCTGGGTTTGGGAAAGGAGGCGTGGAGGAGGTTAGTGGGAGCACAGCAGCTCCCTCTCGCCTATAAAAAAAATAAACCAAAAAAACAAAAACCGCGACCTGGTCCCCTTCCCACATCTTCCCAGTGTCTTCCTTCCACAGGAGGCATGCTGGTCTGGCAAGATAACACAGCCGTGAACTATTCTAACTGGGGACCCCCCGGCCTGGGCCCCAGCATGCTAAGCCACAACAGCTGCTACTGGATCCAGAGCAGCAGCGGACTGTGGCGACCTGGTGCTTGTACCAACATCACCATGGGGGTTGTGTGCAAGCTCCCTAGAGGTAAGCCAAGGCCTCAGAAGGTGCTCGCTAGGCCCGCTGTGCCCACAGCTAAGGCCACAGCTGCGTCTAGGGTTACCTGCTGTCCGGGGGCAGCTGTGTTGGGTGGCAGGGCATCAGGTACGTCAGTCTATAGCAAAGACTGGTCCTGGGACTTACTCCCTGAAGCAGACAGCAAGCCCAGAGGCCAGCAAGCGCCATCATTCTCTAGTGGTTAGGGACAAGGGATGGTTCGAGTCCCCTACACTCACTTATCAGCTCTGAGGCTTGGCGAGATGGTCCAGTTGGTAAAGTCATGCAAGCCATGAGGATCTGAGTTCAGATTCTCGGCACCCTGATAAAAAAACAGCACCCTGTGTCCACGTCTGTAACCCCAGAATGGAAGGGGCCGTGTGTGTGTGTGTGTGTGTGTGTGTGTGTGTCTGAAATGATAGGTCCCCAGAGCTCATTTGTCAGCCAGTCTAGGTGAAGTCATGAGCTGTAGGTTCAGTGAGAGACCCTGTCTCAAAAAAAAAAAAAACTTAAAAAACAAAAAAATCAGGTGGAGACCCATCAAAGAAGACACATGGTACAATAACAGTGACCTCAGGCCTCCACACGAGTGCGCATATTTCTCAGTGCACACGTGCGGTGCACTCACCTTCAAGAACGCATCCACAGAACCCCACAGCCACGCTGTACCTTGCCATCTGAGGCAAGGCTTTGAACTCCGAGGCCTCAGCTTCCTCGTATATAAAGCTGGATCATAGTAGCCAGGTCATGGTGTCACGGGAGGCTCGGGTGATTTGTTTAAACCATGACAATGATTTCCACGAGGACTAATTGTGACTATCTGGCCCTTCCCCCTCCTACAGTGGAAGAGAACAGCTTCTTGCCATCAGGTGAGTGGAGGGGCACAAGCCCTGAGCTTGGCTCTTTCCTTGGCTCCTCTGTCCCTGGTGGGCATGGAGAACAAATGTCCCCTCCCCATCATTGTCTCAGCAGCGCTTCCGGAGAACCCCGTGGCCCTGGTGGTGGTGCTCATGGCGGTGCTGCTTCTCCTGGCCTTGCTCACGGCAGCCCTCATCCTCTACCGGCGCCGACAGAGTGTGGAGCGAGGGTCCTTCGAGGGCGCCCGTTACAGCCGCAGCAGCAGCTCCGGCCCAGCAGAGGCCACTGAGAAGAACATCCTGGTGTCTGACATGGAGATGAACGAACAGCAGGAATAGAGGCGAGGGTGTGGTCAGGGCAGAGCCGGAGCTGGGGAGACAGGGGCCCCAGGTCAGCAGGTCCCTGTCACCCCTCAGTCTAATTGGTCTGTGGATGGCAGCCCTCAGGTGTTGCTACTGAACCAGGGGCTGAGCGCGCGATGGCGTGGGAGTACCCAGCCTCCCACAAAGGCTAGGCTGAGCCCTGGCGATGGAGCATTTCCCCTTTCTCCTGGGCCTGGGATCTTGTCACCTGGGCCTGGGCCTCCACGGTAACTGAAGGCAATGTGAGAAGGGAATCGAGCTATTTCTGCCTTTTTCTCCCCGCATCCCTGAGCCTAAGCCTGCTGACCCAACCTAGAACCCTTTCCTATTTGCAGGTCTGGAAAGCCTGCCCCATTCCCTCTTCCTGTTTTTGGCTCCATCAGCTCTGTCTCTCCATCCTGCCCTCACGCCTTTTCTCACTCAGTGCCTCCTTCTGAGCCAAGGCCCTGGGACTTCTCTTTCTCAGTGGGGGTCAGCTGAAAGGGCCAAGCATCTGTCACCTCGGCACCTGCTGGAATGGACCAACATTATGGTGGGAGGGGGCCTAGGTGGCTCAGGTCTAAGAACCAGGGTCCCCGTGTGGTGTCTGCTGGAGTAGGGATGGAATGGAACTGTGCGGAGAGACACCTTATCCACTCATGGGGGTGTCGTCTCCTGCTGGTCGGGGGAGGGCTCTGTCCCTGAAAGAGTCCCCTGTGGGGACCAATCTAAGTTCCCTAATGTCTCCAGCTTTGGGCTCTGGTTTGGAGAGAGGGAAGAGGGTCACGGGGGCCCTGGAGAAGCTGTAGCCTTGGATAGCACTAGGGGTTATCTGTCATCTCGTGTGGCCTAGAGGAAGAGCGCCCAGCTCCTGGAGCCACTCAGCATCTTCTCCAGAAGGGAACCAGCCAGGATGGAGAGTGCCAGCCCCCGTGTCCCAGGGCGGGGGCAACGTGAACAAAAACTCAAAGACACAGACCCTCTGTTGTAGTTCTTGATTTTTCTAATGTGCTATTATTGTTTTCTAAAAAAGAAGGAAAAAAAATAAAGAAAAAGAAAAGCAAACAAATAAAAACCTTCCAGAGGCTTGAGAAATCGGCGTTTCTGCCTCCTCCTTCGTGGAGTCCGATCCATGCGCCCCGGCGGGGATAAACGGCAGCCTCCGTCCTGTTGCTTTGGTAGCCTGCCGTTTTGTCTGTGAGACACTTCCTTGGGGACACTTCCTCTCAGGAGCTAGGCCATTCCTGCCCGCAAGCACGCTAGCCTGGGCAACTGAGCGCGCTGTCCCATCAGTGTGAGCAGGGGGAACACCGGGAGTTGGGCTGCCTCACCTGCTAAGGATGAGGTGAGAGCGTTCTCACCAAGCGCCTTTGAGTGCATGCAGTAAGGACTCCAGACACGCTAACTGTTACTGTTATTTCTAAGGTTTTTGTTACATTTGTCTGTGTGTGTCCGTGTGTGTGAGTGAGCGTGTGCATGCATGTGTACGTGTGGAGGTCAGAGGACAATTTACAGGAGTCAGTTTTCCCCTTCCACTCTGCGGATCCCAGAGATCAGACACAGGCTGTCAGGCTTGACATCAGGCAACCTTACCTACGGAGCCACCCTGACACTCCACTGCTGCTGTTATTTTCTGGGATGGGCTTGGAGGAGAAGGAGGGTCCTGGAGTTGTCCAGCTAGCCCTGAGTGGCAGTGTCTCAGCAGCATCCCCCAAGCGTACCTGTCCTACCTGCCTTCTGCCTGCCAGGAACTTCTTCGTCTGCACTTGTATTCAGCCGGTGTTCGAGTTGGAGACACTTAAAGGAATAAAGGGAAGACCACGCTGGAGAAGAGGGTTGGGATGTGTGAGGAGTGAGGGAGAAATGAGCAGACCAAATGGACTGACTGGGAGAGAGAGAGAAATGCCCAGGCCAGAGCGGGAGTGGAGGGTCCCTAATGACTCAGAGGACCAACAGCTTGGCCAAAGGAGTGTGGCTGGGTGGTTGAAGACCAGGAAGCAGTGGGCCCGTGGACAATGTGAAGAATGTTGTCAGTGGGAATGGCTAATCTGACCTTTAACAAGATCACTGACTGGGCTAAGGGACACGGACAATGGATAGGAAACGGGGCAGTGAAAGCAGGAAGGCCATGCAGAGGAAGCTCTCGTAATAATTCAGACCTCAGAAGATGGTGGTTCCTTTGGCCCAGAACAACAGCATCGGTTAGAGGCATTGTGTGTCAAGGCTTGTCCTGTCGGTGACTTTTTAAATCTCAGTTCTGCTTCTTTTTTTTTTTTTTTTTTTTTTTTTTGACTAGGCAACTCGGTCATGTGGCTCACTGCCTAAAGGACAGAAGAGGATGTAAAAAGGCGTCCATTGAATGTTCTTCCCTCCTTCCCCTTTCTTCAACCCGCCCCACCCCCAATCCGCCCTGGAGCCTCCTGCCTTGCTGCTTTCCTCTCTTTCCAGCATTTGTTTGGGAGTCAGGGCCATCAGGAAACACGGGTGCTGGGTTTGCCTGAGGGAGCACCGGCTGCTTTCAGGGATCAGATGCGCTGCTGCACTGGGGGTCAGGAGGAGCCGCAGGCTTTCCTCCAGGGCTGGAGGATGGGTAGGGGCTACTGCTTTCGAGATGGCTCTCTAGACTTTGTGAGCTGCATTCCTGAGGAGAATCCTCTAAGCTGTCCCCTATCTGCAGTTCTAATAAGACCCATGGGAGTCGGATAGGTCAGCCACTCAGGAAGGGAACGCCAACCCAAAGTACGATCCTTAATGAT